TGTATCGAATGAAAGTCATAGACCTATAAATGTTATAAGGAATAATTTACAGCCGTTCAGACAGACTGATTATTCAATAGAAGAATAGATATGTTCCCCAAGTAGGTCTTATAAAGAAACTGATAAGTGAGACGTGACCGGACATTCCCATCACAGTCAAAATCTTTTTTATAAATATCTCACCGACACAGTTTCTAAACGAACGTATGGCAATAAAATTGTTTTTTAGCTGAAATAAGAATATTAGCGTGAGAAACATTAATAGCTTAGATGAATGCATGACTCATTGTGCATATTTTATCAGTCTAGTTTTTGTTTTATACGCAATGGCATTTACAAAAGAACACGATTTTGAAAAAAAGTCATTTTCGAGTAATATATTACAGAAACAAAAATATTTTAAGAAACAATGTTATCATTTTGTTTCAAAAGTTGCATGTTTCTGCACATTTTAATTTATGATGTTTGTGGATTGTTACCGGTGTAACTTAGCTTGAGATTGTCCTAACAAAGTTTCTCCCCTGATCCGAAGAAGTGCAGACATTAGGGGAGGGGGGAAAACACAGGAATATTTTAGGAGATAATGTAAATTTTACAGACTACCGAGGATCCTAGTTATCAGAAAACCCTTTTTTTGGATGTCTTGAAAAGAATTTATGTTATGGGGAGAAGACGTTTCATAGAATCTTAATACATATAGAGTTAAGCTCGTTTATACTTGGAAATACCCATTTACACGTTCGGAAAACAACAACGAATTGAGGGAAGAAATGCATTCCTTTTCAATTACTTCTCATCATCTGCTCTACACTAATATATATATATATATATATATAGTTATTCAGATGAATTCCAATTGCCACTGCTGTATGTACAAGTTGTACTCGTAGAGCATGTGAAATACGATAAATAACTTTAAAAGTTTTGTTAGAGTCAACTTGATATCTAGTATCAACGAGATGAGCTAGTATTAAGCTGCATATAGCTTTATTCGAACCTTTACCATACGAAGACGGCAGGTGTTTCGAAATTCAAAGATGAACTTCCTTAACCGCCTGCCCATTGTAACTAGCTCCTCACCAGTAGTTAAACTGATAAACACACGTCGAAGTGGGAGAAACAGGCAATTTGTCTTTATTTCTGAACTGATTACTGGTTAGCTAGTGAATAATCAGCATAACTTAGCTACAGCTAAAGTCATTTGAAGGCCCTTCTCAGACATTGTGATAGAAGTCTCACTATTAACATCTCCCATCAGATGCGATCTTAGGAACCCTGAGTATTTATATTTAACAGAAAATAGCCTCTGTGTTATACCATCCTGGAGCACATTAAAATATTTGAAAAAATGTCAGTGGTTTTTAAACATCAAATTTGCATCTAAGATCTTGGGCTGCTAAGACAATTAACCACTGTCAGCAGTGAATAAATCTAATACATTGTGTCCCACTGATCATCTGTGTGAAATCAAGAAGAACAAGATTTGATGCAAAAAACGTTTTGAATGCCTGAAGAAATATGACCACCACACTCATCTCATAGTATAAAGTGAAATATGACAATAATTTTCTTGACTTAAGAGTGATATGTAATTAAAACAAATGTAAGAATGATATTTTTCCAGAGAGAATAATAAATGGAGATGACGGAAGTTTAATCAACTAGGTCATGAGATGTTCACCTCAGTTTTCCAATCAAGGAGGCGGTAACTTAACGCTTCTAATAACCATGGTTATCATTAGAACTTTTTCAAGTTCCACACTTAACTTACATCACTCCAAGTCGAAATTAGTTCACATACCTTGTAACTGCCATTGTTATTTATGAAGTTCTTACTGCAACCTTATTCACTTCCTTATTAATTTATTCTGTACACGTAATTGTATAAATACCTTTATTAGTATGCAGCCCTGTCGTACTCAACAGATGACACTTTCGTTCTTCTTTATGATCTTGTGCGTCTGGCACCATTTCATTACTGTGGTGTGTTTGATATTTCTTGATCCATGTGGTTCTGCAAGACTTTAAAGTTTTGAAATTTCGCAGCTAAAAGACACCTAATGCGGATTTAATGTGATGAAGTTCATGGATTTCTTAAGCGAAAATGGTGAGTGAAAAGTGTTTATTTGAAAACATACTAATGAGTGCTAATCAAAATATTGATCCTTGTACTCAGTACACTTCATAAATAGTATTAGCATTGTCTATTCAGTATGTCTGTTTCTAAATTTTGCGTCACGTTGATATAATATAATCAACGCTGTAAACGACTATAGCATATTCACCCGTGAAATATAAACCTTCATGAGTTTTCTGGAAGACATTATTCCATACAACACTTAGCCACCTTATTATCGCTGGAATACTTCGCTAACCTTTAAAATACAACTCACTAAATACTTTGCTTTTTTGCTAGGTTGAAGTTGAGGGACGAGGTTATTTAATTCAGCAATGCATGCTCAGAGTAACTGATTTATTCAAGGAATGAAAAATCCTCGTCATGGGATTAGGAATACATGGTATTAGATATACTGGAGAAGACTTGTAGCTCATGTGCATGATTTTGATGTTCGTAACTTAAGCTCTGCACGTTATGAAAGCTTTATGCTTGGCGGGTGTGATTTCTCATTTACAGAAGTTTAGGATCAGTTCAGGCCAATTTTAGCTTTTCTGACGTACTATACAACTGGCAGAAAGTTCTAGAAGTTTAACAAAACACATGTGAGGCAGGACGTTACAATGAATTATATATAAATATCTACCACTTAAATGAACTCTGAAAGGTATAACGCTTTACAAATTGTCTTTGTCTCTTTAAGTTAAGTTGACCTTAAAGGGATTCTGGACCTAGCCCAGCCCACCTTACCATAGTTAGATGACGATAGTTAATACAACTCGATGAATAGTAAATATGGGAAGGAAATAAAGAGAACTGACACCGAAGAATTTTAGAAAACTTGGAGGTGGCCATCAGATAATGAAAAAATGCATACTGATTACAGATGACGTGCTTTTGTAAAATGTGGTTTCACTTTGTTTTTCATTAAATTATATGAAACTAAATTTACGGAAAACATTTCTCAGAATTAATATAATGGATTAATTACTCGATCAAATGGACATTCTAAGTAAGCGTTAAGAGATGCCATGCAACTTAGAACAGGTCTTAGGTTCTCAGAACAATTTATATTGGTTTCGGTGGGAAAATTATTACAATCCGACCATGGAGTGATATTAGTTTGAGAACAACTGAGAACCAGGAGGTACTGTAAAGCGGTTTCCTTCTAGCTTGAGACTCTTCAGAAGTGATACCCTCCAGTGATACCTAGAGGGATAGAACCCAGGACCTTTACGGATGCTTTCTGGCGAAGAGTCCCGGGCTGGGCTGAAACACCAACGCAGTACTTCCTGTTTTCAGTGGTTCTCTAGTTGGAATCAATTCGCGATCAAATTGAAATCAATCCTTTCCACGTCAGATTCTGCGAACATGTACCAAGGAGCCTCCGGTCAAAGGGACCGAATTATTTAAGCTCTTCAATCGCCAAACACCTGATTGACACAGGACACCGAGTAGATGTGCTGGAATCATTCAAAATAATTAACAGACAAAGTACCTCAAGTCTTCTCAGGTTTGCTGAAGCTATAGCAATAAAACGGTTGAAGCCTGACTTATGTGTCCAAAAAGAATCCATTGTTGAACTTCAAATACCCTGGTAACTCACTTCTTAGTAACTCTTTGTTTTCTGATTTTGTTAACTTATCTTTTCACTCCTCCCACCCTTTATGTTTCGCTTGACTCTCTTAAGCGATAATTTTTCTTGATCTTCTGAGTTCTGCTCACTGTATTACATCATCAACTTCTCATCTGACCTCATGTGCACCGTAATTTTGAAATTTTGATCTTCTCTCATCTAATTACGTTACTATTGGTAATTGTCTTTTGTTACCACCTTAACCACACAACTGTTAACTAATTTTTTCAAGAAACTTCTCTCTACCAAGATACATATGTCGTGACACTTTAGACACCCTGTAAATCGCAATGCCTTATTTTACTCTGATGCTCTGACACTACGCTTGCTAATGGACAAAGGTTTGTTAAAATTATACACTTTTTATTTCTAATAAAAAAATTCAGGTTGTACGCATCTGATGAGAACCAACGAAATAAAAAGGATCCAGATTATTCTGAGCCAATTTTTCTTCTTTCTTTGTTCGAAAATTTTTTTACATTGGTAATTACTAAGGAAGTGGAAAGTATAATTCTAAACATAGTTTTGGTTATTTGAAACCCTGACAATTTGAGCATATTTGAAACAGACTTAAAAGAAATCTCTGGATTATCTGAACTATAATCCGGCAGGAAAATTTCAATAAACCTCTTTACACTTTCACAGTCACATACTGGAACGTTATCTGATGTGGATGCATGAAATTTACTCTAACCTCCCAGTAGAAAAATCACAAATGGTCACATGATGGTAATGCCTAATTACAAAAACACAGAAAACTTACCGTAGTTGAAGATTAGCCAGTGGTATAGGTGATTCTACTGACTGAACTAGAAATACTGTCATTCAAACTTCATTTCAATACCGTTATGAATATTTCTTAATAACTACAAATATTGTATAAACATTTTTCCGAAAGAGCTGTGATCCAGTGAAACATATTTTTGGCTTAAAACGAAAAGGTTTTCAACTATATCTACGAGTTGTAAGACCAGATTCATAGTTCGTTTTCGACATTCAATAAGGTGTACGCATGTATTCCATACTACTCGAATAGTTTAAAATGAAAGCATTTGTAATCATGTTACACTGGACGCTAATTAAATTCGAGTTCATATTCATGTATTTCGTTTACAAATCATCGTTTTCTACCAGTTGCATTACTTAAAATTATATCTATTTGATAAACTGTAAATTATGACATCCTTGTAATAAATTCGAAGAATATATATATATATAGGTTTTAAAACATTTTAAATGTGTGCCTACCTGATGAGTAGCCGCCATACAAATTTGATTATTCTGAATGAGATTATTGGTAGGAGTCAAATTTTTCAACGCTTCCGGTCTTATCTGGAATGCTTGCTGTGCTACATTGTTGAATGAAACATTTTGACATCGTTCTGCCCCATTTCCATTGAAAGGTTTAACAAATGTCTGAGACTGTTTTAATGGTATAACATTACAGGGTAGGAAGTGTCTTTGTACATCCCTTGGTGATGGATATAATTCATTTGGAGTGAATGGATTCATTTGAACTGGTAATGGCTGTAGGTAATTATTAACTTCAAGATTAGTTGGTGTATTAATCAGACTGTATTTATTTTCAACAGGACTATCATAAATTGATGTTTCTGGATTATATAGAATCTCTTTAATATCTGTTTCACCCGCCAACATAGCGTTGTCTACTTCACGTTTCCAACGAGTTATAGCGCCAAGTTTTTCACGCCAAATTTCTGCATAATTCAAGTCATCTTTAAGTTCGTCAACAACTGAGTCACTTTCTTCATCATAATCTCGACAATTATTATTTTTAGTAATCAATTTATTATTTTGTAGATAGTCAGGGGATATTTTCACTTTTTTCAATAAATTCTGATACTGCATACCATTATTAACATTGTTATTATTAAAAAAGACTTGATGTCCAGGTTTATTGTATGTCTTTCCAGAAACTGTAGCTAACACATGTTCTTCATAACGTCTGGCTGCAGGTGATAATGACATTTTTCCTACTGTACAGTTAACTTTGTCAACTCTGCAATTTTCATTGACATCCTCACCTGAGTCATCACCATATTCATAACAACCATTGGATTTATTTTGAGACAATAAGATTTTGTTTGCACAAATTTTTGGTAAATGCGGAGAAACACTTGATAAGTTTACTGATTGTTTATTTGAAGCCTTCTCCTGTCTTAAATTGGTTTTTAGCTGATGACAATCTTTAGATGATACGTAATGCTTTCTGTTATTTGGAAGGTGAATTGAATCATTCTGTACTATTTTTGGTGATAGTGAAACACTAACTGAGATAGGAGAAATTGGAGATGAAAAATATCCTGATTTATTATCGTTATAATTCACAGAAATACTATAAGGCGACTGTGGTTTCTGATTGGATTTTACACTGTGTGATACATGATTAATCACTTTATGAAATGATTCTGATCTTTCAATTCCAGCTGGTGATGAATTATTTCTTGAATGAGTTCGGGCAGGATTATTATCTGCTGAATATGATCTGATCAGTGTAGTACGCTTATCTGATGGTAGTGTTAAATGGTCAACTGGTGTGTTATTTTTTGAGAGATTCACGTTCAGATTTTCAAGTAATCTGTCTTTTTCAACATGTAGTCTCGACCAATGAGAGTGATTGTTTGAAGTGCAGTCTGTCTGTATATTTTCTGCTATTGCATAGGGAGATTTGCATTCTATGGTGTTTTTATTTTTGTCACTAAATATATCACAATCGTCATTATTATTATTATCATAGTCATTTGACGAGTTGGTAGAAGACAAACTTGACTTTCTGTCATTAAGATTAAGTGTAGGAAATTGAATGCAATGACGTTTGATGGTAACAGACAGTGGACGTTTAGGAGTGTAGCCGTTTTCTGTAATTTCTTCTGTATTAAAATTAGGATAGTGTATATCACTTGTGCATAAGCGTTTCATAATTTCACTGTCATTTGGTGAGATTTCATTACCGTTGAAAGTATTCTGTCCAGCTGGTTCATTCAAGTGCGTAACTTGATTAGGATCTTTGGTTGTTGTAGTATTCTCAGTAAGTGTCAGAGTAGAACTTGAATTTCTATCGTTTGCAATCTCTAAGTTGCACAATTCAGGTGTGTTGTAGACCAACCGATCAGACTTTTGATTAAGAGAATTTAAATTATCAGCAGAAGCTAGATGATTAAACATTGGTGAGTAGCCTTTACATGTATGCTTTGATTCTGTGCAGTCTGTATTCCTATTTTCTTCATAAGTGACAGTCGACCTCTTGGCAGGTGAATGAGTTCTAGGTGAATCACACGCTGAATAGATCGGACTTACAGGGGTAGATATGGATTTATATTCCGGGATGCTTAAGTGTTCATTATAACCATTACTAAATTGCTTATCAAAATTATTTGTTATTGTTTTATTTTCAAAAGTGTCTTTATTCTTATAGTCTTGATATGTACAATCGACACTACTAGATCTATGATATTGTCCCATGTCCTGAGTTACACATACACTAACTGGTCGTGTAATGCGTTCACCTTCAGTGGTTTTATTTCTTGCAATACGAGGAGGTTTAGGTGTAAAGTAATTTTCCCAGTTTTGTTTTGCTAACGCTACCCTGCCAGGATTTTGTGAATCACTGTATCTTTGTGAGGTGCGATTAGTGTGATTAGAATTATATGTTTGTTGTTCTTGTTGTTGGAAAGATGCAGACTTCCGTGTATGTGGAACAGAAGGATGTTCACCAGCTATTGTTATTCGTCTTCGAATAGTTTTATGCTTTTCACTTTCACTGGAACTTGTCATTTCTTTAGCTAAATTATTGACAATATTTGGTTTGACTCTGTCTTGACTGTAATCCACTACATTCTGACAATTAGCTGAACGATTTCCTTCAGGCATTAGTAATTTGTTTTGGTTGGACAAAGATAATTCATTATTTTTTGATATATTCTGTTTTGTTGTCAGATTTTTTCTTGTGACTTTCTGACATCTTACGAGTGCTGTTAAAAGACTTTCTTCACTATTGTGGGACCAGTTCGATTTAAAAGTTGTATAGTCTTGAATTTTACTTGTCAGACTACTGTTTACTGAAAGATTTTCATTAGCAAGAAAAACACTGTCGAATTCTGAATAAGAAATACTTTCCCCTGCAAGTGACTGTGGTGGACTATCAGGGGAGTATTCACTAGTTAATAAATTGCCTAGATTTTCACTTGTTCTTAAACAATGCTTATCCATATTTCTGTTATTATTATTTCTGTGACTATTATTGATGTCATAACATTTATGAGATGTTGTCGGTGCTGATGTTCTTCTTGTCTGCAGTTTAACTGGAATCAGGTCTGGAGCAGGATATGGTGGTATTGGCAGAGAAGGAGGGAATAAATTCATCGGTTGTTTCATTGATGCAGATGATGACGTAGAGAATCGCTGAAAAAAGTGAAAAATCATTGTAAATTACATTAAGATCTTTTCAGTGTAACTAGTTAATTTCATCTCCTTGGTGGTTAAACCAACACATATATCTTTGATCAGCTGAAATCTCTTTGAATACATTCACTGATCTCAACAGCTTAATATTGACTCTTCTAGTAAATATGTATCCTAAATGTAAAACTACACTGTAATCACTAGGGCTAACCGGTGTTATGTGTCTAGACCTTTGTATTGTTGAAGACTGATTTCTGTCAATCGCCAAATTCAGCTTAAACCAACACCAGGAACTAGAAACATGACACCTGCAGCCTAGCAACCAGTCAAAACATCCATTACCGTCCTACAGGATGTCAGTCGTGAGCTCTAATAGCTCACCGTTAACGTATCTGACTACAGCAACAGATGGTGTGGGTTCGAATCTCAGGGGTGGGGGACATCATTTCCCTCGAAGTTGCAAACGTGCCTTGCTGATGAGTGCCAACAAGCACAAAATCTTGGTGCAGGGCTTCCTGTGGACTACATCCTATCATAGAAGATCAAGTGTAAAACTACTGTACAAATTCACGAAAACGTATATGTAACTGCTTTTATCCAGATGTAGTCCATATGGTCCCAGAGAGAAGTCTGTTCAGTAAGTGACGTGTTTTCTTTTTTCAGTGAGGTAGACTTAATAAGTACAATTTTAATGTAGTATAATATAAATTTAAAAAATGCAACAGCCTCATTACCGAATAATAATCAGATTTCATATACCAAATGAAAAGTGCTCATAAAATGAATGCTAAATGGTTCATAGGTGTTTTAGCTTTTTAAGAAATTGAAAATGTACTATGTCTTATTTTAAACTATATTTACTCTATTCAAGTGTTGGTTACAGGATTTTCATCATGAGCTGACATTCGTTAGAGAAGCATTGGAAAACCTAGGAGTACTGGACAGCTGTTTCGTCCTAGTTTGGGACTCTTCGACAGTACTCTAATTCTACTTGGGGAAAAGGATTTCCTGAGTTACTGGTGGTACCCATATACACAAATTAGGTTTCATAACAGAATACGTTAGGCATAAAGCTTAAGTTATGACCGATTATCTAGTATCTAGTAATTTTAGTGGTTGTAAACATCACTCTCCCAGTATACAAGAAATTAAAATAAAAGATTTCAATGTATGCAGAACGAAAAGTTATTTAAGTTATGAGGGTACTAAACTGAAAGTTTTGTGTCTGTAAATTCAGAACTAAACCCAAATTCAGATTCAAATCAATGAGTTTTATGAGTTGAAGGCATATATATATGCAAATGAAGTTGTAAGGTTTGACAAGCTCATTATGAGCTCGTAGGATAACCATGATTATCGTCATCATCATCACTCTGTTGTTAACTAACCTGTTTTATTGATAACTAAAAATATGAACGTTTATTGTGTCATTGGCATGTGTGGGAAAAAGTTATTATTATTGTTCCTTTGGGTTCCTAGTGGAAAACAGGGCTTCAACTGCACGTCTCCACTTGCTTCTGTCTTCTGCTGCACTTTTCACCTGCATCCATGGTAGTCCATACTGTTTCAGCTCCTCTTCACACGATCTCCTCCATGTCACCCTTGGACGTCCCACTCACCGCTTCCATTTCGGGTTCCACTCGAGGGACTGACGCGCGATGTCACCCAGTGGCCTCCTCAGAGAGTGTCCAATCCATCTCCACTTTCTCCTGCATATTTGTTGGGCGATTGGTTCTTGTTTTGTTTGTTCCCATAGTTTCTTGTTGGTGATCTTGAGTATAGAACGAAGACAGCTGTTGATAAAGGTCTGCAACCTGTTGGAAATATTCTTAGTGGCCCGCCAAGTTCCTGATCCGTATAGCAAAACCGACTTGACATTTGTATTGAAAATCCGAATTTTGTTGTTGATGGTGAGTGACGAAGATTTCCAGATTGGTTTCAGGTTGATGAATGTGTTTCTCGCCTTCCCGATTCTCGATTTGACATCCTCGTCCGTTCCTCCCGTGGTTGAGACAATGCTCCCTAGATAAGTGAGTGAAGCAACCTCTTTCAAATCCCTCCCGTTGATGGTGATTGGCGCTGGATGTTGCTGCTGCTGTTGCTGTTGGTTGGTTATTTTCATAACCTCCGTCTTGTCTATGTTCACCTGGAGTCCTGTCTTTGCTGCTTCTTCGACCAGTTTGTCGATGGGAAAGAGTTAGATGATTCAAATGAGCGAGAGAAAATAAAAAAGTTATTTAGTGGGTGGTAACTAGCAGCAGATAAAACTGAATACTCCTGACTAATTGTGATGAGTGGTTGCATAGCACTCGTATCAACTAGTAGCGCTCGCTAGCCAGTTCGAGTTGATTTGGACGGCCATTTCTGTCTCTTGGGAACAAGCTCATCAGTGGTGTACCTAGTGTGACTGAGCTCAGACGCCTGAATCAGTTCAAACCCCCTATCCTATTGGTTGATATGAGTCGTACACAACTACTCATTTCAGTCAATCAGTAAGCAGTATGCAGTGTTATGCAAATATGCTTGCCTTCCTGATTAACATTTATGGTATCAAGCAGATTACATACTGTGACCTAAATAATTTAGTTTCTAGAGGAAACTATGGTAAAATTTCCCCACTTGAACTGTCTACATTTTAAATCGCTAGATAATTTGAGAAGTGGGAATTTTGCAAGCAGTGGAATGCAGAATGTGCATTTCATCCAACTTGGGACCAGTCAGCTGGATGTAACTGCAATTCTCAGTGGGGGAAGGTATTTCCATTGTGATTCAAACCCAGCGCCCATAGTTTCAAACACCAAAGCGCTGTTCACTAGACCACCTGTCCCAGGAGGAGCTGAAATGTCAATAGAGGTCGAAAATTTCGGTTCGGTCAACCAATGGGAAAATCGAAATTAATTCAAAGAAAACAAACTATATCCGTAGCGGTATATAAAGAAATTCGAAGGTGACTAAGCATGCGTTTATCACATAGTGGGTGAAGGTAATTACCGAGTTTGATCGCACATCCTTCGAATTTATAAGTTTACTGTTATTCGTAATAATTCTTTTTAAGGAGAGTAAGTGTACATCTTTATGTAGATGGAACAGCAGCTGATATACTATACAGGAGTCTTCTGCTTAGACGTGTCTTTCAGTGTCTTCCAAATTGAAGCGAGTGGCAGTTTTTAGTTATCCAATTTTCCCATCAAACTTATATATAAAAATAAATTTTAATGACGAAATAATTGTCTCCAGAGAAGAAGTTAAATTTATACATATAATAATAGTTTTGAGGAAAACAGTTACTCATTGCTAATAGACATCGGCGTTGGACTTATAGGTCAGTTAACGTGCACTTTCATCAGACGTCACTTCAGTTGATCTACAAGTTCTTCAGGCAGTAATACTACTCCGTTTTCAGCATATTGCCTCCTTAAATACTGTGTTTAATTTCATCATAGTACTATACTTAGTTGATTTACTAAGTCATAGCACCAAGACATATTTTGTAACACTTTATCCTCAAGTTTATCTAGACGTCGGAACATTTAATTATTAATGGCGTAAAGGAGCAGATTCTTTACCATTTTC